GTAATTGTTCTTATTACAACCAACAGCTTTCTTCAAAATGTTATTCTTGGCAGTTGCTTTAAAGTGAAGCAAATAGTTTCTTGCTCTTTTGTTGCTAGCACAGCTGACATTGTTGACAAATGTTCTAGTCATCTTCTTCGACTCCGTCACTGGAGAACCACATCCAGATACCTGGTAGCTTTTGAGATGGAGTTGGGGACCTGTGAGAGCCTTGTAGGTGAGGTGCCCTGGATACTCCAGGGCATACTCCTGTGCATACTCCAGGATACCCTGCCCTGTTGTAAAGCAGGGATGGGAGTGTCATGGTTCACCATCTGTGCCATTGCCATGTGTTTGCAGTGTCAGGCATTTTATGCACAGGTCCTGGCATGGGGTGTGTTCTGGATTGTCTGGGCCCTTCAAGCTAGAGTGTCTCGTTCTTACATATGTGTTGTGTGTACATATTGCTCATTAGAGCTTTTCAGATCTGATGCTGTTACTTTTGGGCTTAAAGGGCTAGTTGTGAAGTTTTTGATATTTTAATGCAAAAGTAAATTGATAACTAAAATGACTAAAAACTTTTTGAAGACAGTTTTCACTATGTAGACCAAAGTTAGTTCAAAATTTCAGAGATTTGCCCACCTCTGCCTCCAGAGTGCTGGGACTAAAGGCTTGGCCCACTATGCCTGGCCAGGTATGAGTCTTTGCTTTGGTCTAGCCTCAACCAAATGCTGGTGGGCAGTGTTACAGAGCACACAGAAGAGCATGGCAGGTGTGGCTCAGGTCAGGATTGATGTCTGGGATGTTGACTTAGTAGTGGAGAAGAAGCTTCCCCTTGGCTTTGTAGATCACAGTGGGAAGTGTCTGGAGTGGCTCTGCTCTTAAGTAGGTGCAAAGATTAGGCATCAAGCGGCATCACCGTAGTTCACGTCACTGTTTAAAGTCCTAAAGGCCATGGTTCATGGTTATAGTATGTACTGTGCTCTGTTCATCTCTAATCCAGGTTGTTCATGATCTCTGCAGGTGTGACTGATAACCTGTAACCTGTAGTAGGCCCTCCTGTTGGTGAGCCAGTGTGCAAATAGCCCTACCTGCTGTAGGCTAGGTGCTGGAGAGGAGTGCAGCCCAACAGCTTTTGGTGTGCTGTGTGGTAGACACAGGGTAGAGACAGTGGGTACTCTGCTCCAGCGAAAGCTTTATGGAAGCTGAAATGTCATCTCAATAGAGTACAGTAGTTCTTTAAAATTTTCCTTCTATTATTTTAAAATGTAAGATCAGCTTTTGGCTCATGGATTGCATGGAAAGAGGTGGGAGGTGGACCTGATCTGTGGGCCCTGGTTTGTCACTGTGTTGCCTCTATGGGGTTTGTGAATGAGGAACAGGCTGAGGTCAGCTGAAAGGCCTGGAGACATGGAGAGCTGTGGAAGGCGAAGTCTGAGCCGATGGAGCCTTTGAAGGAGTGGGAATGGGCTCGGTGGGATAGTCAGTGCTCAGAAGCAGCCGACAGGTGCAATTCCTGCTCAGTTCTACACAGTTTGGGAGGCACACCAAGTCTGCTATCAAGGTGTGTCATAGAGACAGGATGTGTTGGAACCAGGGTCCTTGGCAGTTGATACATGGGTGACAGGTGTGGACAGAGATTGGATGCTGAGAGGAACCAGCAATAGGAGGTTACCCTGGCAGTGTTGAAGGGAGCAGGCCCAGAATGACCAGGTCCGGCAGGCTTCTTTCCCAAGAAACTGTGGAATGGTGGCTCCTTTTGAACAGTTAGGAAGAGGTAGTGGTGACTCAGGAAAGCCCGGCTCGCAGTTTTGGAATGGATACCTGAGTACTGCAGCCTGGACAAGCTGGATAAAGAAGGCACAGGAGGAGAGAGAAATGGAGGTTAACTTCATGCCTGTGCCTGTGAGTCCCCAGCGCTGTGGTTATCAGAGGATGGCCCACATCCTTGGAACATCTGGAACACCTTTCCAGGGGGCATAGGAAGCCAAAAGAAGAAGAGAAATTGTTTATCTTTTTCTCTGTCAACATTTAGACTCACGGTACATAATTTGTGGTGGGTATGATTGCTGGTGCTTGAACCCCCGTCAGGTCTGGGTACCATGCTGTGTTCTTGTGCTTTCTGCAAGGCAGCAGGAACATACAATTCCATGTGTTTACCTAAGAATGTCCTTGATGGGCTGGGGAGACGACTTAGTGATTAAGAGTACTTGCTGCTCTTCCAGAGATCCAGATCAGTTCTCTTTGTCTGAGTCTGGTGGCTGAAAGCTGTCTGTAGCTCCAGTTCTAGAAGATCTGATGCCTCTGGTCTTTGAGGGCGCCTGTACATATTCACACACACACACACACACACACACACACACACACACACACACAGAGTTAAAGGGATAGAAGTAAATATATCTTTTAAAAGGATTGTCCTAATGTCACAGTAAAGCCATTGCTTTCCTAAGTCTCTACCATAGAGCTCACCTCATCTTACCACTCTGAGACATGGGCAGATGAGAGCATTTTACTGGGATTGTTCCGGGACAGCCCTCTGCAGGAATGGAAGCTGTGAGCTGAACTAGCTTGTGGGCCACTAGGAAGGAAAGCATGAGCAGGGTGGGTTTTCTTACAAACGTACATCTGTTGTCAGTGATAGGAATCGAGTTGTCAAGTGGGATTAGGATTTTAGGAAGCTGTATTTACTATTGTGAGCCCAACAGCTCCTTCAAAGAAGAGTCAGTGCTGATGTTTATTTGGAGATAGGGTTTGACTACATAGCCCAAGCTAACCTCGAGATCTTCCTACTTAGTCTCCTGAGTGCTGGGATTATGAGTCTGCTTGACCATGCCTGGCTCGAGGCTTTTAGTATCATCATGGATCATGTATGGCATGTGTAGCTGCATATACCTTAGTGAATGATAGATGAAAGCTTACACTTGTCTTAGAACTACCCGCTGGACAAACAGAACCTCAGTGGGCTTTGAGGAACTCGGGAGCAGAGTTCCCAGTGTGGTTCCAGGCTCTGCTGCAGCCAGACTTTCTTCAGTAACTAAAGCAAGTGCCGAGTGTTAGGGTCACCACAAACAAGTGTATCCATAGGTGTGGCAGAGGCTGTTGGCCTGCTCTCTTACTTCTAGCTGTGTCTCCCCATGAGGCTGGCTGAAATCAGGGGCTGCATCCAGAGCCAGCCAGTCTGCCAGCCTACAAGCATCGCTGTAGCCTGCTCTTTAGGGAGCCTGTGAAAGGGCAAAGCAGTGTCACTTTTCATTAAGCTTTTATGATTTTGGAAATTGTAGCTCCTTTTCATTAAAAAGTATTTTGTATGTTAATATGTTTAAAAAGTAAAATTTCAGCTGAGTGGTTTCGGTTCACACCTTTAATCCTAGTACTCAGGAGGCAGAGGCGGATGGATCTCAGAGTTCAAGGCCAGCCAGGTCTACAGAGTGAGTGCCAGGACAGCCAGAGCTGCACAGAGGAATTGTCTTGAAAAAAAGGAAGGTGGGGGAGAGAAAGAAAAAATTTCCATAACTATTATTTAAAAAGAACATGCAATACTCAAACACATTCTGATAGCTATGTGGTTTAATTAGTACAGCTCTCTCTGGGCCTCACTGATTTTAAGGTGTTGTAGGAGATCCTAATCCCCAACGTCAGAAGTGTTGCTTCCGGCAACCAGCCTTCCGCCCTCACTGGGTTATGTATGCCTGGAGTGTTGTGGGCCAAGCCTTAGCTGAACCACCTAGTTCCTAGATATTTGGATTTCTTCCCCCCGCCCCCCTTTACTTGTTTATTTTGAAACAAAGGCTCATTATGTGGCTTTGGTTGGCCTGGAATTTAGCTATTTAGGCCACCCTGACCTCAGACTCACAGAGGTCCTCCTGTCTCTGCTGCCTGATTGATGTCATTAAAGGCTGAACTACTATATCTGCCCTGGTATTTGGCTTTCTTAAGGTAATCTTCAGCTGTGCTTGCGTGTCCAGAAGGCTGTCTGGCACCATCACACATCTGGCCTGTTGTCCACTGTCTGGAAGAAAAGGATTAATACAGAAACCAGCGGTGGGAGCTCCTTGGCCTGCTCTTGCTATGGCTGAAGCAGGTCCGGGGGCCTGCACCTGGCACTTACTGGAGGAGGCGTTTGTGTGGGGAGGGGGGAGAGAGTGACACGGATAATCAACAGGATCAACCTCAGAGGGGAGTAGGCCGACCTCGGGTTTGCTCTTTCCTAGCCTTAACTGGAAACATTTTTAGAGGTTCTATCTCAAAGAAAAACACTGTTGCCTGTGTTTTCCAAAGGGTAGGGAGGGCAGGAGCCCTGGGAGAAGCATCTCTTGTCTCCTGTTTTCCTTACATCGGATGATCACTGAGAGTCATTTTCTAACTTGTTTCATTCATTCATTCATTCATTCATTCATTCATTCATTCATTCATTGTGTGTGTGCCCATATGCATGCGTATGACAGGGATAAGTACTGGGTGCCATCCGCAGTCTACTTTGTGTTCTCAGCCAGTGTTTCTCATCGAACCTGGAGCTTATCCTTGTGGTTAGACTGTAGTCCAGACAAGCATGTCTCTGCCTCACTGTTCTGTGGGTGCTGAGATTGTAAACTCAGGGCCTCATGTGTACAGCAAGCACTTCACCCACTGAGCTGCCTGTCTCCTCAGCCCCCACCTTGTTCGCTTGTACTCTGTGGCAGATGTGTTTGGGGGAAAAAGTAAGCCAAACCTTCCCATGTGCCCTAGTTAATAAAGAAATGGATCTTGTTGCTGACCTCCTGACTTTTGGATTTTATTTCTTAGTGCTCCTGTGTCCTGAAAAGACTTGGATAATCTTTGATGTTCCAGTAGTTTCCATGTTCCTGGAGACTTGGCTGCCTAAGTACCACTTTACAGGAAGTACCACTTTACAGGAAGTGACACTTGTTATCCTGATATTTATATTTAATGTCACTTATTTTTGAGACAGACACTATGTAGCCTAGGCAACCTGGAATTTGCTATGTTATATTGACCAGTCTGACCTTGAACTCACAGAGATCCACCTGTATCTGAATCAAGGGTTGGAATCAAAAGTGTTTATCACTGTGTCTGTCTGTAGCCTTATTTTTCTGGCACTGTGGTCTTGGCATTCCAGCTCTGGTGGGTCCTCAAGTCTCTAGAGCAAAGCAGTACATTGGGGACACTGTGGGGCTTTTGGGATGAGAATACATTCTCCCCACTCCTGCGGTGGTTCTAAGAGTACCTTTTGCATACACTGTGTCTTGACTAAATCTCTTCCTCACTTGTCTCACTCAGGGTTGCTTCTGGCCTTTCTGCTTCTGCCAACAGTAAAGCATATTTTTATCTTCTATAAAGTGAGGCCAGACAAGCCCTGGATGCTTTCCACAGCCCCTTCCAGACATGTCAGGAACACGCTAGGCCTTCACTGGGGGCATGTGCAGTGGGCTTGTTAGACTCACTGCTGGACAGGCATCTGGTGACTGGCATGTCATTTCAGCCCAGCGCTGTGTGTCTGGCTGCCTTGTCTTGCTTCCTGTGGAAAGAACCCCACCAAGCCAGATGTGGCATGAAGGCTCCTGGAGAGGCTTGATGTAAGAAACAGCTCTGAGATGCCTGTCCTCAAGGCTGACGGGAAAGAAGCCATTTGTCTCAACATCCTGTATGATGTGGTTCATGCCGTGACCGAGAAAATCCCGGTGGGGAATGTGCTGGAACACAGTGAGCCTTTGTTCAGTCATTTTCTCTTCTGCCTTCTTGCCTTTTTCGTGTCCTGAGAGCTGGTGCTCTGTAGTGTTTCTTTTTAACCTTCACCCCTGAAATGAAGCTTTATGCTGTAAATAGTGCTGTGTGTCTCATCCATCCCACTCTGTGCTGGTGACCACACCCCTGCTCCACCACCGAGCCACACCCCAGACCTCTGCTTACTTTTTAATTTGAGACAGGTTTTTTTTATTATTTTTAAAAAAGAGTTATTTATTTATTTTATGTATATGAGTGCCCTATCTGCACATATACTTTCTTGCCAGAAGAGGGCATCAGGTCACATTATGAGAACTGGACTAGGCCCTCCGGAAGAACAACCAGTGCTCTTAACCTCTGAGCCATCCCTCCAGCCCCATGTTTTGTTTTTTTTTAATATTATTATTTTTTTTTGAGACAGGGTTTCTCTGTGTAGTCCTGGCTGTTCTGGAACTGGAACTCACTCTATAGACAAGGCTGGCCCCAAACTCAGAGATCCGCCTGCCTCTGCCCCTTGATTGCTGGAATCAAAGGTGTGCATCACCACTGCCTGGTGACGCAGGGCTTTATTAAGTTGCCCTGACTAGGCTCGGCTGGATTTCCTCTGTAGCCCAGTAGGCCTTCAACTTACTCTGCCATTTCAGCTTCCCCAGTGTAGCTTGAAAAGTTCCTGTGTTAGTACTTTTAGTTTTTTCTCATGGATGCTACAAATATTTGAAAATACATTTGTAGTTAAATATTTAGTTACCATGGCACGGTGGTGACTGACAGGCAGCTGAGCAGTCAGTATGGATAGCTAATTTGTCACTCACATAAAGCTAAGCGGCTGAGTTTCTGCAGTTACTCAGTGCATACAGTGCAGTCTGTGGAGACCAGAGCACAGGCACAAGTGCTTTGAAGATTTAGTCCATGGCTTCTAATTTAGTTTAATGTGTGTGTAATCTCATAATGTAGCCCTGCCTTGCTTGGAACTTGCCATTTAGACCAGAGTGGCTTTGAACTCACACAGATCTGCCTGCCTCTGTTTCCCGAGTGCTGGGATTACAGATGTGCGCTACCATGCCTGGCTTTGATTTGTACTGAAATGTAAAAATGTTAACTGTGGTGGTGCTGGCATAACTGTATGTACTAATGAGGCACAGTGTGACATTTCCACACAGTGTGCTGTCAGCACTAGGCAGCTCAGGGTCAGTGGGGTTCACCTTACCAGTGGGTTCTCAGTGGCAATGCTGATGTCATCCTGGCGTCTGTGTCTGGCATGGGCATAGTGCCTCTCATTGGGCCCATATCAGATGCAGGATGCCTGCCTGAGCTAGGCTCTGTGCAGGCTGCCCAAATGCTGGCTCGCAGGGCTCGACTTTCAGCAGTGCATGGGAGGCAGATGCTTAGCAAGGCAGACATGTACGAAATACAGGAAGCCAGGGGAAGGTGCCTGTCCATAAAGCACGACCTGGGGACTAGGGAGCTGGGTGCTGGTGTCCTTCAGGCATGATCGAGTGTCACTGAAGAACCTGTGTGGGAGCAGAGAACATGCAGGAAAGGGGGAAGGGGTCGTCTGACTGGAAGAGACTAGACTGGGATGTTCCTTCTGAGCTGGGTGTGGAGGTGGGATGACTGGACAAGTCCAGTGAGTGAGCAAGGAAGAGAGTCCAAGATGGCTGCTGCTGGTCCACCTGCTGAGGACACAGAAACCCTACATGCCACTGCAGCGTGAGCTGAAGAAATCTTGTCCCTGACGTGGCCCCTGAGCTGCTGCTGAGAGTTCTGGAGCAGGAAGAAGGTGGAGAACCCTGGGAAACTGCATATGAATCCAGATGTTAGGTGATGCCTGGGTGCAGTCAACGCTTGAGCCAGCATCTGTAGGAGAGAATAAAAGAACTTCCCAGGCAGGAAGCTTTGGTCCACCAGCTGGATAACATGGGCCATTGCCAACAGCAAGATGACGGGAAGGACTGTGGTCGGTATGTGGGGTTAATATCCAAGGACAGATGTCTAGGGACCTGTGCTGCGACAGCACTGCCGTGAGTGCTTGGGTGTGAGCCATGCGAAGCTGAGCAGCAGGCCTTCAGTGCCCACTGAGCAGAGGGCCTTGCCCCGGCACCCTCCCTGGCAGGGAGTTGTAGGGAGCAGACAGAGATGTAAGAACGCTGGCCTAGGGGAAGAGCCCTGCAGGAAGCTAGGGACAGTGGTGTGTGGTAGAGCCCTGCAGGAGAGAAGCCAGAGTCCTGAAGCTGGAGCAGCCTGGTGGGAAAGACTGACACTCTAGGAGCCCAGGAGCAGCAAGGAGGGAGCGAATTCAGTGACTTCACTGAGTGCCCTGGATGGAGGCCTGGGAGTGGGCAGGAGAGCAAGGCTGGGCTGTGCAGCTCTGGCAAGGGCGAGTGGAGGAAGTGTGACACGCTAGTCCAGGAGTTCTGAGGAGTTCAGTCAAGGTGCAGGGAGGTGGGCTGAGGGTGGGGCGGGGTGGGGTGGGGCTGTGGGATGGGTTAAAGGAGGCCTCATTAGATAAGTAGATAGTGGCTTAAGCCTCTAGATTCAAGACCCAGCGCTGGGGGAAAGTCTCAGGTGCTGTTGGGATTGGATGCCTGTGCTAGCTGCACGGAACTACTGTGACCAAGAGACACTGTGTCGTAAGCAATCAGTAAATAATGAGTAAGTCACGTGGAAAGTAAATGACTGCAGAGTCCAAGGGAAAGGAGATCCTGGAATCTCTGTCTCCCCGTAGGGAGTCAGCCTAGGTTTGAAGCATTGTATCCCACTCCCCTGGGTACTGCTGTACACCATCTTACAGGTAGAGGAAGACACACACGTAGTTCCTGTCGAGGGAACTGCTGTCCTACACACTGACCTGGGACTTTCCACTGGTGTTCCTTTCTGTGGTGTATTGGGGTGGCATGATTAAATCATTCTTCCATGTTGACATGTGGTGGGACCCCTCATCTTGCTGTAGCCTGCTGAGTGCTTGGGTTGTAACTTTGGTGGACTGTCCTTTTTCTACGTGCACCCTGGGAGCTTCAGCGACTAAATGGTAATTGTAGTCGAGTCTTTATTGAACATTAGTCTTAGCTCAGCTGTCTTATTACATTAGGCCTGGATTCTCCCCAGGCCTTCTGAGAAACGGCAAAGCTAATTTGCCAAAATGGCAACTGCGTGCATGTCTCTCTGTTCCAGTTTTCTTGGGCTGCTTGCCCTAGTTTTTTTCTATTGAAACCTTCACTGTTAGCAGAATTTTAAATGTTTTTATCCTGGCAACAGAAGCATTTGGATAAACAGCGAGGAGGGCAGTGGTGTCCTTGTTTGGAGGAGGTCAGAGTTCAGGGTTTTATAGCCAGTCCAGAGTATTTTCCTAAGCCATTTGCAGAGCTTTTAGAAAGCAGGAAAGTGCCAGGGTTAGGCATTTAAAAGCCTCTTCCACTGGCCCCTTAGGAGAGGCAGGCACATGGAAGCTGTGGGTCCGGCTATTCGTGACTAAGCTACAGAGGCAGAGCAGGCGGGTTTAGACCAGGCAGTTAATTCTCTTGTTGACAAGGCTGTCCATAGCAGGTAGCCTGGATACAGGGGTAGATCCACATATGTGAGGAGCTGTTATCTTCCTCTAGAGCTTTGCTTTTCATGGCTTTCCATGTTTAGGCCTGGAGAAGGCCCAGGCTGCAGGCCGGCTCTCTCTGGACGAGGGTCCCCCAGAGGCTTCTGCACTGTGTCTCTATGGGTAGACTTGCAGGAGTGTTCAACCTTTGACATTGTGACAGACATAGACTGTCATCTATGAAGTTCATGGATAAAAGCCATGCAATCAAATAAGCCTCCCCCAGAGCAAACCTTGCTGGTTTAAGTAAGCACTTATTACTCACCTGAGGTGAAGGTAGCTTGTGGGCCGTGAGTTGGACGGGCCTTGTAGCTGCCCTTGCTGCAGGTGAAGCTGGGAAGGCGAGTCTGTCTGGTGGCATTTGTCCTGAGGTACTGAGGCACGCATGCTGGTGATTCTAGTATCTTTGCAGCATTGAAAAGGGCAAAGACTTGTCTGTCTGCATTTTCCTAGAAAAGGGTCTGTAGTGTATTTTCAGTTCTTTGGATTTGCTAGCCCCCAGCCTGCTTTCAGTCTAGTGCTGAATCTGGCTAGGCGGCTTTAGGAAGGTGAAGGCCGCTGCCTCGGCTCTGAGCTGACGTTGGCTCCTAATAGTCTTTGCCTCTTTATTTGGAAGCAAGATGACTGAATTTATGGTACTAGGTATGTTATCCTTCAGCTGTGGCTGCTCTGTGTTTAAAGTTCCTCCTCAGAGGCCTTGGAAAGGGGCAGGCACAGAGGCCTAGGAGGACCTGGGGGAGCTGTACCTGATCCCAAGCTTAGGGACAGTCCTCTGGCTGAGATTGAAGGTAGCAGTGGTGGTCAGAGTTGGAATGGCCATGTCCTGGTGTCACCCTGACACTGTCAGTGTGTGTATGTCTGGTCACAGTTTTAGTGGAATGTGGAAGGCAGTGGAAAACCAGTGTGCTCTCGTTCCTCCCGTGTGTCCCAGCCATTGGCTGTCTAGACCCTGCGTATGCAGGGCATAGCTAGTTCTTCCTCCTTCTCCCCCTTCCTGCTCTTTCTGCTCCTGCACAGTGCATGACACCCCACTGCTCAGCACTCAGCTGCTGCTAAAAGCACTGCCTGCCCTGAGTCCCATCACGCTTCCTTCCCAAGTGAAACTTTGTACAATAAATGTATGTGCTGGAAGGTTCCTGTGTCCATGGAGGTCTCCCACTGTCATTCCAAGGCTCCTGCAAGCCACTGGGACTCTGCCTTGTCAGATATCTATGTTGTCAGTTATCCAGTAGGTGGAGCACCTGTCCATAGTTAGGCCTTTCTTTGTGTTTTTTTTAGATTCAGTGTCACAGGCTTACTGGTCTTTTCCTACTGCCGTGAAAAGAAAAAAGAATTGGCTTACGTGTAGCAAGTAGTTTTCCCAGTTTGAATTTTTTTTTTAAAGAGCCCCTTTGATTAAATAAAATGCAAACAGTTGCATGTGAGGTGTGGTGGCTTATCCTCAGGGGTGGGCCACTCTTCTGCAGCTCACTCACACACATCTTTCCATCACATGACCCAGACTTGAAGTTTAAATTGTCCTTTAGTTTTGTTTTTTCCTTGGTTTTGTCAATTTTAAAGTCTACTTAATTTCTACAGACCTCTCATCATCCCTCCTGTTACTGTGTTAATAAGATGTGCCATCTGTGGCAGTACAACCCTCCCTTCCTTCCTTCCTTCCTTCCTTCCTTCCTTCCTTCCTTCCTTCCTTCCTTCCTTC